AACCACCAGCAAGGGGGATGGGACAGTCGAAAAGAGAGTCAGGCTCCTTGGCCCAGGGAGGAGGCCTGCGGTGGACTTGGGCAGCAGTATCAGGGCCCATCCTTTGGATATTATAACTCATCTTCTCTGCAGAACTCCAGGGACACCAAGTATTCGAAAGAGGACATCGGTCTCAGGTCACAGATCAGCTGCTTGTCTCAAGAAGTGGCTCAGCTCAAGAGGCTGTTCTCTCAGCAGCTCTCCAAGACGGCTTAAAACCTGCGCACAAGAGAATCAAGTCTGGACTAAAGTTAATAGACAGATTTCACACAGCATCTTTCCAAACCATCAATCTTACAGACTGCTGATTTCCATAGGCCAGCATGGCCCCAGTGTAAACAGCTACCTCAGAAGTAACTGACCATATTTATGACACCTGTTTCACTGGTAATGCTTAGTTTAGGAGCCTGTTTGTTCTGTGATGATCAACACATTTAACTTTTAAAATAATGCTTAATGACTACAAAACTAAAGTGATTTCACTACATATTGACTTCCTGACATTTGAAGGACACTGTATGTTTCTGTGTACGTTTCTGAATGCTTAACTGAGCAGGTCTGTCAGACACACTGGAACATGTAACATACATGTTGTCTTGACTCAGATGCAGCCATTTTGTCTTCTTTGGGACAACATACAGTTTGTAGGCTTTTCAACACAAACTGTTTATCCATATTACTGTGTGTTAAATATCTTGTGTTGCCCAAAGAAGACAGAGAAGTGTGTTAACAATATCTTTTTTTTTGTTTTTGTGATCTTTATATGTTGTTTACTGTATCTGGTTTATCTTATGACAGCAAGGTACAGTACAAATAATTGTGCATTTCATCTTTGTTCAGAGTTGTAATTGAAATTAATTGTACTTGAAAATAAAAGTATATTTTATATAAAATATCTTCTTTGAATCTTTTTTGCCTCTTCAGATTAAACAGTCTTTTGAGATTATATAACTGTAATATGTATCTAATAGTGATGCCAAATCACCAGATGAAATGCGTGTGACGGTTAAAGTAATAACATCTTTGTTGATAACTTACAGAGATTACTGTTCTGTATTTATACAGCCATCAACCTGCAATATGCAAGAAACTTTAAGCTCTTTTAAACTGCATTTTGCATTACATCACAGGCAGGAGCAGCTTAATCTGAGGCAGAGAGAGCTAAGGTAGGTGTGGCACTGGAGTGAAGAGGTGCACTGCGCAAGAGTATGAATATGCCACAAATTTCGTTTTCAGCTGAACTGATATCATTTGAACTTCCTTTATTGTCCTCAATTCGTTTACTAAATGCTTTGAAACTGCAAACACCACCATGGCATCACTCCACCCTCACTGAACTAAGGTTCCTGAAATGAGGTGGGGCAGAGGGGTGTAGGACAGTGCCAGGGATAGAGGGGTGGTGTACGGACGCAGGGAGTGGAGTGAGACTCTGCGTGAGTCATCTATCACGTCAGCAGTGTGTGTCTATTTTTAGCAATGAAGCAGCTGCAGTGGAGACTGATTGGCCCATATGGAAGTGAAGGATACAGGTTCAGAATACATTAACACCTGGAAGGAGTACAAGTCTGCAGATGGACAGCAGTAGAGGTGCCGAGAAATACATTCTGATGGCGTTGCAGAGCAAGAAAGCTGCAATAAATACACTGAATTATTCATTTTTGTCTGAGAATATGTTTCACTTGACTGAATGTCATTATTCTGTATTAGCACATTCTTGAATATTTCCATATTCAGTATTTTGTGTTTTTTTTTATCAACACCAGGTGGCGCCAAGTGTCTTTAACAGTAGGGATCACTGAGTCTCATTCATTCATTCATTCATTCACAGCAGTGTTACTTCAGAGGTCGTCTCCTCCATTGTGCTCACTGTAGTACCACATGCTGCACATGCAGAACAAACAAGGATGTCATTTTGTGTTGGAAGTACAGCACTCCCACATTCAAATGATCTCACCTTTACTCAGAAAGCCAGATGTGAGAACGAGGCTTGAGCATGAAAATTTACATGACTTACACGTAATAATTTCAGTGAAAATGTGTGAGGTTAAACAGGTAACACCAGACTCATGCAGCTACAGAGACTCCCCTTCTTTAGACTCTGACCCTGACAACAACAACAAGAGATACACATGAGATCCTTTGTCTGCAATCAATCTTCATCCAACCCAGTCTGCAAACCCCCCATTCCATAAGCAATATAGGAAGCAGAGAGAGCCTTCTGGTTGCTAGGCAGGCACCACCACACCACAGTTGCCAAGGGAATGCCTGCATGCAGAGAGATGGAGGAGTGTGTTGGGGGTTGGTGGTTATAACAGAGTACTGGTGGGGGGAGGAGCGAGACAAGTTCAAGGCCACTGTTTCCATGGTCTAATGGTGGTGATGATGGTGTGTGTGTGTGTGTGTGTGTGTGTGTGTAGTGAATGGGTGCATGTGTGTGGGTTGAGACAAAGCAGGGGGGAGGGATGTGAGTGAGAAAGTGGGTTGAAAGTGGATGTGTGTCTTATACAAAACATGGCTGACGTAACTGCTCATGAAATATGGCGGTGATGAGGACAACAGGCTTTGTGGGATAATAGAAAATCTCCTAAGCAGATAATACACGTAATTTGCTGTAAAGATGGAAAAAATGACAAAAACAAAGAAGATAATGAGAAAAAAAATAACAATACAACACATTTATTCATTGTACAGAAGGTGTTTTTTTCCTGTTATACTCCATCTTAACAGCCATGGATAGTGATAGTGATATCTAGTTATATCTATTTTAAGTGACTTCTTACTGTTTTGTTTTAAAACAAATGAGATGGGAATCTAGTATTTATTATTTCTATTTTTAATTCTGAATATATTAGAATCGAGAGAGGATGGTAAAAGGTTAATTATTATTTTTATTATTAAAAATTAATGGAGAATTACTTAAAAAATTAAACTTAAAAAAATAGCAGATCAATGTGTTTTTAGAATAATACCACAATAAAGACCTTAAAGTCCCCTCCAGTCTAAAATCTGGTTTTCTTCTTGTTCCTACAGTGTGATGTTTGAGTTTCACTGTGCAGAATGACGTATGTGCAGAGTTTGACACTAGAAGGATGTTTTTTTTGACATTCATCTGCTGAAAGTGGAAAGTTTCTTTGTGCTCACTGAAAATCTGATTTTAAGGGGCGGAGCCTGCGAGCATGATTTGTGACATCACAAATAGTCTGGAAGTCAGTCCTGGTCCAGTATGCAACTCGTAAGCCACCAGTGCACATCCACTGAGAATAGACTTTACAGTGAAGCAGGTCCAGCAGGAAAACTTCAGAAATTAACATTTGCATATTAATAGATTCTTGTTTTAATGAGGCAGAAGTAGTCGATGCCTTTTTAAGGATTTTAATGCGGGAATTATACTTTTTTTGCAGAAAAAAATCAAACATAATTGTTTCAAGCAGACTACTTGTATATATCTTAATACATGTCTGGAAGGGATCTTTAATGTGTAAACAAAGGGTTAAACTCTGTTTAACTGCCTTCACAACTCGGTTAACATGCTCTAATCTAACAGATTCATCTAACAGATCTAACACTAGTGGTCTAAAGCCTAACAGGAAGCATTTCTCCCCTGTGTGTGAGGGACTTCTATTAGAGCAAACCAAACAGGAAATTGACAGTGCTTTATAATTTGTGTAAACGTGGCAAAAGTGCAAAGGTGGGTTGGCGAGGACATTTATCCCAAAGCAACGGTTTATCAGTGGTGGAATAAGTACTCAGATCTAGTAACAATACCACTGTGTATGCCTGACACTCGTTCAGATTTGGTTGGATTTTGTGTGATTTGTATATTTTATGCACCAATGCACCAAGACAAATTCCTCGTATGTGTAAAAAACTACCTGGCAATAAACCAAATTCTGATTCTGGTTCTGATTCCCCTTGAAATCATTGAAACAACGCAGTGGAAACACTACCACTTTTCTCCACAGGGGGTGCTATAAACAATACAAAATGAAAGTAAGTAAGTATTGGCATCAAAATATACTTAAATTACCACAAATAAAAGAACTACTAATGAAAAATATCCCATTACAGAATAATCTATATTATATTATTGTGTTATACATTATTGATTCATGTGTTCATCACTTTAATGCTGCAGCTGCCTAAGGTGGGGCTAATTTTAATGACTTCATGCTGGGTAGCTTGTGAATTTATCTCTTATCTTAACCTGTAAACATAATAATTTATTTGTTGGTGATATTTTGTGTCATTAATCTGCAAATATGTCAGATAAAAGTAGTAAAAAGTAGAATAGTTTCCTCTGAAATGTAGTGGAGTAGAAGTATAAAGTATCATACAATGGAAATACTCAGTATAAAGTCAGTAAACTCAACATTGTACTTAAGTAACTTTACTTAATTACTTTCCACCACTACTTTAGCCGCATACAACCTACATGTCTGCAGTTAATAATCCTCTACCTAATATCTTGTCCTACTGCAGATGACGGTTGAATAAGAGGCATTTACAGTGATATCATAACAGTTGCACAAGAGTTTCACAATCAGTCAGAAGTCCATAATCATGCTGTAAATGATTAATAATTGCATTCTCATAAGCAAACGGGTTCAAATTTGTCCTGTCCCCTCAGAATTAATACAGAACAAGAGTAGGTGGGTTTGCTTGAACTTTCATAGGCTACAGAAATCAGCACATTTCTAAAACATATTTCTTTTATAGTTCAGCATTTTGAAGTCCAAAGTTGTAGCTGTTAGAAAGCAGTGGAGTAAATAGCCTACATAATAATGTCTAATGACAGAATATATTACTGTGACTGTACACTTGCACAGGACATGCTGGTACATGCTATTATTGGACATCTCAGTAACACGGTGTCTCTGTAAGCGCATTCATGGCCCTGTTATAAACTTAACCACTCCCGTAAAAGAGATGGCATTACACTGTGGAGGAGAGATGGAGGGGTGGAGAAGAGAGAAAAAAGAGTAGGGCTAATAACAGAGAGAGAGAGAGAGAGAGAGAGAGAGACTCTCGCGCGGAGGGATAGAGGACAAAAACGTGACTAGGCAGCCTAAGAGCTGTTATGCAACCGCTGACCTACTAACACATATTTCTAGAAAGGGAGCCGGAGAAACTGGAGCAAAGTGTCCCGGCATCGCACAACACACAGGCAGCCCGAGCCAAAAGACAGAAACGGCATCCACCCGACCCACAACCGAGCAGAGCATCGACAGGAACGGGAGAAGAAAACTTTTCGGTTTTTCTTAGGGAGGTTTCCTCTAAAAGGACAAGGAAAGGAGGAAACGGGAGCGAGACAGCTTTTGTGTCGGGGAAGCCTGAATCTTTTTTTTCTCCTCCTCCAGGACATGGAAAGGTATGTTATGACTGAGCGGAAGGCTGCTTTTCGGCTTTTGTCTTTGTCTGTTTTTACCTCTGTGTGTCCTTTTAGTCGGTGTGGTGTGATATATGGGCGCTGGAGCTATGTGTGTAGAGATGAGGACATGATGCTTATGGCCGGTTATTGTTCACATGGCGACTCTCGGCTCGCCGCGCGTCCGTGACTTTGAGACGTTTGCGGCTGTTTTTGTCACATTAAACGCGGCACTCGCGAGCGCAATATGCTACTTTGTTGCCAGGGGCTGATTGGTTTTTTTCGCTTTTATGTTAACACGATACAGGTAGCAGGGCTGGAAAAACGTGGTTGGCCGTATCCCACGTTATGTGTTCAATGTCAAGGCGAGGTTATTTCCCCTCATGGTAGTGTTTTCCAGGGAATGGGGGCAGCTGCTGTACTCGGTCTGTGTTGTCTGGTTAATGCAGACAGTGTACTATATTAGGGCACGTGGCAATGCTACAGTCTGTGTATATTTAATGTAGGTCACTAGATCACATTTAGCTGCGTAGATATGAATTCGTCTTTGTGGCTGTCTAGCAGATGCAAACACTAGACTGGATTGAAGCATGGCTTTTTTTTTTTTTTTTTTTTTAAGGATACTAATTCATATAAAAGGTATTATTAATGCCACATTTTCAATTAAGGTAGTTGAAACTCGAAGTAGAGGTTATTGGAAATTTAAAAAAAAAAAAAATGACAAAATGTTTTTAGGATAGATAGCCTGAGTTAATATTGTTTAAAAAATATGGGAGTATTACAGAGACACTACAGGTGAAAAGATGTAATGCAACAGTAATCTCCAAAAAATAAATACAAAATAAATTAATATATATTATTTCATGGTTATACTTCTATAAAACGTCCTTTTTCTCCAGATGTGCATACCCTTTGCCTCTGTCCCTAGGTTATATCACTAACACATTTATAAATGTTCAAGTTCAAAGGAGAAAACAGTCACAAAATGTCTGATTTTCATTCAAAGATAGTCACTGGGTGATTCTTTTTTACTGGGAAGGTGTGTTAAGTAAAGCACAGAGCTTTGCATTGAGGGAGTTGGAGGGTATGACATAACCAGCACACAGCAGGGAGAAGCAATAAACAGCAGCTCTCTCCCGGGACACAGAGGCCTGTAATTGATTCCCGTTCACACCCTGCGCTTTCTTCCCATCATTCATACCCAGATTAACACCAAATCCTTATTTCTAAAGCAGATAGATATTTAACAAGTCTGAAAGGGTGGAAATTGTATTTTAGAAATGCTTTCATCAATGACCTGCTTAATGTCTGGGAGGTATTTTTAACTTGCTCAGTCTTTCTCCTTCAAGAGAAATCATAAAAGGCAGAAGTTAGGTAATAAGAATTTCTTTTGTTTGGTATAAAACTTCAAGATCTTGGCGGGACTTTGTTAGTTGTGAAATAAGAATAACAAGTGAACATCCAGGATGTGATGCAATGCATGGAAACCCCTGTCTGGCGAAGGCAGGCAGAGTTCTGGTGAGCTCTTAGTCCGCCCGCTGCCAGCTGGTCTGGTTTCAGAGCATTCTGCATTGCTCCGTCCCAGCCAGCTCTCTGAATATAGGTCAGACCAGTATCTGGGTGAGGACACACATGAAGTATACAGGGCAAACTGTGGACTACTTTGACCACTCTGTCTATTGCTCTGAGGAACACAAGACCCCAGATTAATGCAGACTTTAATAGCTACAGCTACTTGTCCCAGTTTTCCTAGTTTGGGGTTTTTTAGACAGTATGTTAATTAAATTTGTATTTTTTACTTTATGAATCTGCTGACTGTAAGTAGCTAAAACCTTTGACTTGCAAGTAAATGTGAACATGTTGCAGGAAATCAGATTAATCTTAAAAAGATGTAGGTCACATGTCACCAATTGAGCCAGTAAGGTTCAGAACTTTTAACAGAATAATGTGCAATTGTGTAAGCCTATACAGATTTGTATATTTCATAACAAGGTCATGCTTCTTTATTTGGAAATATTAGATTTATTTTCACCAAATTTCTAACCTCTCAAAAATGCGTAATTTTTCTGTAATTTTCAGCGTTCTGTTATCAATCAGTAGTAAAGGTAGACGTGCTTTGGTCACATATAACTTAAAGGAAGTGTTAAATGGCACTCAGCCATAGGTCTCACTAACTGACCTGGAATGTCTGGATTCCTGTCTCCTAGTTTTGTTTCTTGACACAAAGCCATGGGGCAAAATGGAGGCTCCTAGCTGGGGCCTCTCCACGTGTGTGGTGTTGGATCACTTAAAAGATGGAGGAGGGGAAGAGGATGCCATGCGTTTTACTCACACTTGCCTCAGAGGAGGTCAGAGGTGACGCATTCCTCTCCGAGCGGCAAGTGCCTGGGAACTTCTTCAGAACTGTGTTTTTCACAGCCAAAAACACTGAAAACAAACTGCTTGCAGTAGCTGCAGTGAATCATTCATTTTAATAGGAAATTAGCCCCTACACAAAGATCCTTTTGCTCAATGTACCGTGTCCAGTATCCCCTAATTTTCTAGCTTTAGTCAGAGCGCAACATGCACAGATAGGACAGTGAAAGGGGAGATTGCAGGGCGTTCACAGCCAGTAACCTGTAGCCTCTGCTGCTATGTAATATGCATGCGTTACACAAGGTTTGCTTCGCAACAAGAGAAATTCAGAGCACGTACGTTACGAGCAACAACAGCAGCCCCTCCCCATGCAGTCCTGAGAGAGAGCCTGTTATGTGTGAATTTGGCTGCAGAGATGGGTGTGTGCTCTGACGTCAATGCCATCTCCCTATCTCTCACTATTGTTTTTCATCCGCTACTGATGCATATTGTTACGTGCGGCATAAGGTGTCGTAGGGTTTTCTAGAGCGAACAGAGAAATTAATGTTGCGTGAAAATCACTGGGGCTTTCATAATCGGATTTTGAGGCAGATTACGTATTCAAGTTTGTCACTTTTATTCCTTCTGTTTCAGATTCTGTAAAATTCCTCTCATTTCCACCAACTGAATTCCTCCTGTCACCCCATCCCTCTTCTACTTCCTCCCTCCCTCACCTCTTTCTGTCGCTCTATTTTTAGAGTGCACTCTAATACTCTCTTTCCCTCTCCTGCCCTCCCTCCCTTGCAGTCCCACTGACCTATTTTATGGCGCACCGTCAAAGACAGGAGGAGTGTTTACTGCTTAGCGTCGTTTCTAGGTCAGTGGGACATCGTAGACGTATGCATGCTTCCTTCCCGCCCGCCTTTGTTTCGTGCCCCCCCCAGCAAGTCTTTATAAAAATTATTCAGGGTTAGGGGAGAGGGGGGGCTCACCCTACATTTTTCCACATCTGTTGGCGGTTGTGTCCAAATCAAATCCCTCTCTGTTCAGTGTAGCTTTGCTCCAGTTCTTTGAGAAAAAGAGACGGTAAAATCCTTGTTTTGGCACCGACAGGAAAATTCAATTTGAAGATTAGCCGGCTGCATATGTAGACTTAGCCCCTGAGTTACAAGATAACAGACATGAGTAAATAAATGGTTAATTATTGAGAGCAGTAGTCGAGCTGTTTCAAGGTCACAATGTGGGTTTTTTGAATGTGAAATTATGTAACAGGGTCATTGACTCTGGGGGAAGCAGAGAAATGCTGTAACCAGTCTGGAAAAGACGCACAGTAGAAGATTGAATAGTTCTGTGGCATTGACTCGGTGGTGCGAAGTAAGTGGTTTGTGATATGGGAACAATACACTGCAGCGCAGTGAAAGAAGGTCGATTTTTCAAGTAGAGCACTTTTGTTCTACTGTCTTTGGGATGCGGTTGTTATTTTTGCCCTCTTGCCATCACAGTTTCAGTAATGGGAACAGTCGGTGGAGCTTCTTTGTTCAGGTCTGCTTTCTCTGCTCACACCATGTCTGGTCGCCACCACTATACAAAGAGAACATAAGACCAGAATGGGAGCATACATAGGGATTAGGAGCTGCATGCTGTTATGTCAGCAACACTTCAGAAATTCCTCTGCTTTGTTTCTTATCCAACTTTTGCATGCAAGAGTTTCTAAGTTTTAAGAGTTTTTACTGCGGGTAGGTTTTGTAGTCCTACACAATGTGAACAAATAGGGCGGACGATTAGAAATGACTGGAATTTAGTGAGACTGGTTTCTAGTTTAATTCTTTTGTGTCAATCAAACTGTAATTGTGCTTCACTGATTCCAATTTCCAATATTTATATACAGTAGAAACTGGGTCTGGAAACATAGTGGAAACGGGAAAAAAGGGAGTAAAAATAGCAAGCAAATTATAATAAAAGTTCATATTTGTGCTACATTTAATTCCAGTGTTGCGAATGAAAATCAACACCAGAGGAGTCATTGTTACCCACAGGCACAGTGACCTAGTTTATTCCCTGTGTGTGTGTGTGTGTGTGTGTCATAAAAAGATGTTTTCATGTTTATAATGGACTCCAGGGCTCAGTGTAATGATGTGTTATTAATTACTGCATATCAACTGTGTAATGCCGTGCAGTGAGAAAACCAGAGGAATCAGGCCGAAAACAAGAGCAGATCTAGTTATTACATAACACTGGACTGCCGTCAACATCCGTCTGTGCTGCATTCAGCATTGTTGCTGACTTCATGGCGCAAGGCATGCTGAGTGGGCAAGGCTTCCTGTAGAGCTACAATGTTAACACTGCATAGGGAAGTTCATCAGCTTATAGGGTTGTGTAATTTCAGACAGTGTGACGGCTACCAGAGAATCTGAGCTATTGCCGCTGCAACAGAGATCTCCCCCTCCCCCATGGACTCAAACATACACAAACATACAGTCTATGTATGTCACTCCCCTAAACCTGTTTCAGCCACTACTCAATGAGTATTCATTTGGCCATTCACAACTGTCATTTTAGTCCTTCATGATGTATTTTTAGAAAATAAGATGTAAAAGCAGAAATAATAATTACACATAATTTGTTTCATCATACAACATATATACAGAGTGTATCAAATGTATCCTTGTCCCTTCCCTGCCTCCCTCAGCTCTTTTATCTGTCAGTCTCTGCAGAGCTGGCACCAGGTCAGCCTGCTTCAGTCCTTGTTATGTGACTATGACAGCGCCCTGTCTTACGCAAGAGCTCTGCAGTAGCAGCAGCAGCAGCAGCAGCACATACAGTATGTTTTGTCCCAGCCACAGCCCTGTATACTCATGTGCGTGCTGCTACTCAGACTCTGTATCCACTCTCTTTTTTCTCTGTGAAGCCAAGGAAGTAAAGACAAGAAAGACAAACATTATGTAACTTTGGGGGTTATGTCATAGATTTTTGGCGCTGGTTGAGTTGGGATAAACAGACTGAGTATTGATCTAAAGCCTTAGAGATTACACTCAAGGGACCCACATTAAGGCTTTGTGCTACAGTTTACAAATCCAGTTTGACCTGACTGAAATGTTATTTATATATATGCCATACTGAACTGCAGTGTTTTTTACAGATAATCTAACCCTCTCTCTCTTTCTCTCTCCCCCTCCCTCTCTCTCCCTGTCTCCATAACCCAGTTAGTGGTCAGCAAACAGCAGCACTGAAGCTGGATCCTCAGGGAGCCCCAAAGTAGACGGACTGACCTACATCCTCTGTGAAACACTGAGAGAAGCAGGGCAACGGCCTGACAGGCATCACAGCTCTGCTGAAGATTGAGGAAGACGCAGATAAACTCAAAATCACCTCCAGCGAGACTCCAGAGACTGCTTTGAACAATTTGCCAAGACTGCTGGAAGACTCTTTGCTCAAAATACAAACTTGGTTCCTTTTATAGTTTCCTTGTTCAGAACACTAGTTCAATGTCTGAGGTGTTTGTGGAGTTTCACCTCTTTTTAATCTTCTTGGCTAATTTAGACACCTGAACGTTTTAATCTTGAAAGATAAGTAACAGAAATCAATGAGGCTATCCCTTCGAGGAGCACAAATACCTCATCAAGACGTTTTTGCGGATCCTGCGACATAGGTCAAACTCCTTAGTAACAAAGCAGAAGGCCGATATACTTTTACATCTTTTCCCTCCCCCCCTTTACCCTTCGCCCATCGCTAGAGTTACACTCTGGCCCCCAGCTGGGAAAAAATGGAAAGTCTGAGTCTACACATTCCATCCACCAGCAACAAAAATTCCATGGAGGTGGACACCTTTTCTAACTACAGCGGGAGCATCCCATCCCCTCTTCCTGAAGGTGGAGCGCGGATCAGCCGCCAGGCTAAAGGTAGCAAGCCTAATCTGAGCTGCCGTCGCAAGCGAGAGTTTATTTCTGATGAGAAGAAAGATGCTTGCTATTGGGAAAAACGGAGGAAGAACAATGAAGCCGCCAAGCGCTCAAGGGAAAAGCGTCGCCTCAATGACATGGTGCTAGAGAACCGGGTCATGGCGCTGAATGAGGAGAACGTTCGTCTAAAGACTGAGCTCCTCCAGCTCAAGTTGCGCTTTGGACTGATCAGCACAGCCTCCTACATGGAGAAAAGTCAGCAGATCTCCAACAGTGCTGCTGGTGTCAACGCTAGTAGCAATGGGAGCAGTGCCAATGGCACCCCGAATAGCAACGCCTACCTCTCAAGCAGCGGATACTCCAGTGCATCCCAGGTGATGCTGAATTCTGATTCATCTGAAGCTGAACAGTCGAGCCGTGGCGACCGCCACAACACGCTCCACAGTTATTCTCCCCGGGGATCCGTCTCTGACATGTCGGACGGCTCCTCCAGAGACAGCCCAGAACCCATGAGCTACAACATAAAGAGAGAGCCCTCAAGTATGGAGATGGCCAGACTGGAAAGCAATGGGATGCCCAATGATATGTCAAGTGGGGCTTACCATGGCAGCCACACTGCTCTGGTTTCTCCTCACCAGCAGAACACCCCATTGGCTGAAAGTGCCATGGACTACCAGCACCACCAACAGCAGCAGTGCCACATGGAGGCCCCCAGCCCTCCTCCTCAGGCCACCTCTGCACAGAGGAGCGTTATCTTGTATCGCTCTAGCAGCGGCTGTTACCCCATGGAGAACCAGAGGCCGGAGGACCAGCAGTCCCAGCAGAGCAGACCACTGCAGCAAGGCCAGAATACCTCAACCTCCAAGTTCTCTGACTGCTCAGTGACCATCACAGAGGTCGCTGAGAAACTAGAGAGGACAAAGACCATAGACTCTCCTCAGTATGAATACACTAATGGCCATGCTGAGTCAGTAGAGGAGCTGCAGCAAAGGTACAACGCCCAACAACAGTGTGAGAACCATCATGGGCACTGCAGCTACCAGGATCAGGAGAGCAGTCTTCGGCATGCAGAAAGCCACCAGAACCCCTTTGCCCCTGATCTGATCCATAACACTGAGGAGGGCAAGTCCTCCTTCCCACAGCACAACAGCTACCTCAACACACTGGACGAAGAGCCCCCGGTGCTCACCTACGAGGGAGGCCCCCGAGCTGACGGTTTCTACCAGGAGAACTCTTCCACTAAAGACACCTCATCCAGTGATGGGGACCCTCGTAGCTCTGACAAGGAGGGCTCAACCGATGACGAGTCCCCCTCCTCATCTTCCTCAGACATTAGCAGCTACCACCAGAAGGCAGTGGGGGCTGCCAGTTTCCATGGCGAGTTCCAAGCTGAGGTGAAAGCCACTGCCCTGCCCCACAAACTCCGCCTCAAGTACAGAGCTCTGTCCAATGGGGCAGCAGGATTGCAGGCAGAGGGACCTTTTAACACCTCCATGTCCCCCTCTCCCAATTTGCCTCAGCACCCTTACTTAGCTCTGCCCAGCAACCCTCACAGTGCCCATGGCAACGGGGAGAGCAAAGAGGTGGAGAATGAGACTGATTATTCAGAAGAGGTCAAACCTCAGGTGAATGAGAGGGCGGAGGCTAAAAAGGAGGGAGGGAAGAGGGGATACAGCAGCAGCAGCAGCAGCAGCAGCAAGGGTGGGCGCAATAAGAGGCGAGATTAAGGACATATGGGGCAGCTTGAGGATTTTCCTGTCACCTCTTTGTTGTGTACAACAGACAACTACAAGTATGATTCACATAGCCACCTTACAAGACAGAGAAGAAGCCAGTGATCTGTGTGAGGTATGGTTAGGATGTGATTGAACCATAAAGTTTCACTGTGTCACCTGTTCCCCATCCCTTTACTCTCTTTACTCCTACCTCCCACCCACCCTCCAATTAAAATAATAGATCACTTAATTGAGGGAGGGGACAGAATGAAACTCTCCAGAGCTGGAGTCTGGGATATTTCCCTTGTGGAAAATTCAAACATTATTCAATTATTCATTATAGTAAACTGCCTTGGTGGCTGGCCAGCGTTTATTGTGGCATTATGGGAACATTCCTTTGACCAAAGAATACACATCCTTCCCTTAGCGTCTCCCTTTTTGGCAAAGAGTTACATTCTTCCTCCCTCTGAGCACATCTTTACCATTTCATCCTCCAACCTCTTACCATGTGCACACAAGTCCCCTTCTGAAGCACTTAGATTGTATATTACTGTGACATATGAATTTGCATAAAAGGAAAATATATTTTAAGAAGAAAAATGTGGCAAAAAAACAAAACAAAAAATAAAGCAGTGGGATACGGAAGTCGTAGACTTCAAAGTGATGAGTTTGTTCTTGTTGAGACACCTTGTACAGTCCCCTTTTGTCTAGGAAATGCCTCGAAGATTTTCTTTTAACTAAAAGTATGAGCCACGACTTGTAAAAAATAAAAGTACAAAGTACACGTTTTTCAGATTTATGGATCAGATCTGGGCCTCCCTCAGGTGATCTGAGCTCTTTGACACTCAAAGCTGTCAAAACAGTCAAGGCCAGTTATACGCATATCAGTCAAGGCTATGCAGTCACACATTGCTGTTAGCAAAACCTGACAAGCACAAGGCAAGCCTCGTTTGCCAGCCGTTCAACAAAAAATCAATACATCTTCATTTCCAGACAAAAATTGTCTGTCTAATAAATGAAATAGCTCTCCAAACCAGCAAAGCTGCTCTCTCTTCATAAGGTGCCTCTTTATTGTGTTGTCCCTCGTCCCCACTTTGGCCAATGTCTTAACGACCCCACTCACATCCGCACTGAGTTGTTTTAGCTACATCATACAGTCTGTACAAGTTTAACTGTTTCACTTCCTGGTGCCTGCCTCTGGCCACTATGTATAAATGTATAGTTGTCTCTCTATCTCTTGTATACTGCTGTCATTATTTTATTATTATTTTATTAATATTGTTATTTTCTATTATATTCGGTTATTATTTTGACTATTATTATGTGTATTTTTCTGTCATCCTGTTGTGTCATTTTGCTCTATGCTCTTCCTGGTTGTGCTGTGTATTTACCCATACTTCCCTTTGCCCCCAGTTACCATTTGTACTCTGTGTTACTGTATAACCTTTGTTGTTTGCCACAAGGCTTTCCGAAAATGAAAAAAAAATTGAATAAGGCTTGTCCAGAAGTGATTATGTATTGCTATACTTCATGTGGATATGCAAAATGGTTACAAAAATGCTCATTTTTGATTGTGAAAGATTCAAAATGGGGAAAAAATAAAAGGTTGTTGAATTTATGTCGGCTCTTTTGAACTTTTTGAGTCACTCACATGAAATGCATGGCGAGCATGAAAAGCACACACACACTCACACATCCAGACCAGCCTTTTTCTAGCAGAAGACCAACTGGCCGATTTACAGCTCACACACAGCAACCTCCCAGTCTGCCAGTACAGCTCAGTGTGAGCTGACACAGCCAGAAAAACTTCCCTTGCTTCACCACGTCATCGCTTAATGCCGCCTAGCAGTGATTCACTAAATGAAACAAATCAGAACAACACACACACTGTGTGTTACAGCGGTACAAGAGGGAATCTGTTGGCTACACTTGACCTCAGGCTGAATATTCATGTTCAATATATTTATACAGACAGTCACAAAATACACATGACTGAAATATAAGCCACAAAGTACACCTCATACTGCTGCTCACAAGGGTATATTCATATGCAATAAAACTAATAAAAACTCAAGGTTGAGCTCAAACAGAAAGGGACTGAATTAATAAAATATGACAAACAGTCATATTGTGGGTGTAAGTCGGAAATGGCAGCAACTCAGGGATCAATTTAAAGAGATTTTCATAAGGCAAGGTAATACATTAGTAGAACATTTAAAGTGCAGAAATAAAATTAAAGCTGCACTGATCAATGTGTTTCACAATGGAAAGCTGGGATGTTCAATATGAAATGAGTCAGCTGTAGAGATGAACCCACAGAGAGTTTTCACCAACTCCACAGTTCCCCTCAGCTCCTCTATAATTTAGTTTTGAAACTGCTAACGTTGGGCTGTTTTTAAAATCATCAGGAAGTTGATTAAACCAATCTCGGAAAAAAACAAGAGCAAACTGTCTCGTTTTACAGTAACTACAACTGAAAGAAAGCCTTCAAAACCACGTATTAAGTGGTGCAAAGTTACATCTTTAACTTCTCTAAGTAGTAGTAGTCCAGAATTGCTCAATGTCATGACCCATAACTTTAACAGATGTCCTTTAGCTGAACAAAAGAAGAGAGAAAAATCCCAAAATGTATCAGTGCAACAAGCAAAAACAAGTTACACAACTGTCTTGGGAGAAAACTGCGTCAGACTGCGAACACACAGTGTGGCAGCCTCCATCTGACCCTGCTGTTAATGGAGCAATAGCTGATGGGAACAACAAGTTGGCATGGGCAGAGCATGCCACTCACAAGGGTTACATAAGAGCCATTACAGGAACGAGAGCCTATCAGAGTCAGAGGTGTTGCAATTTCAAGGAAACACCCAAGTTTCTTGAGAATCTCGGGACAGCGGCTCTGGCCTGGAAATGTCAACAAAAAATACACTTTGGGCATGTTTTCATTCCCAGACTTTATTGCCGGAGTGATTTACATTTTGTGACACAAAATAAATGCTTCCACAGCACTCGCATACAAAAACCTTTTCTTGTTCCTGCCTCTCAGTTTCAGATAGATAGAGGAAGGATGTAAGTGTGTAGAAGCAGCTGACCACAGATAGACACTGGTGATTTTCATCAGAAATATGAAACCTTTAATGTGTTTTCACTTCTGCCCTCCACGCCACCCACCAGCCGGCTGTAACAAGGTGACATTCCTGAGAAAACCGCAGTGCTTCATAGTGCACTATCCTTTCCTCATTCTCTCTCCTACACCCCCCCCCCTCCCTTTCAGTTTCTCTTGTCCCCCCCCAACCAATCTTTCAGCTGTAAAAGCTGCTTTGTATTGTGCGGAGGCTTGTGAAAACGGGCCAGTAGAGTAAAAGTAGGTCAGTGAGGAGGGATAGGAGAGGATGGAGGAGGGGGTGAGGAGAGAGAAGGAGAGAGAGGGGGGTTATTCAGAGTGAAGAGCTGAAAGAGAGAGAGAGAGAGAGAGAGGAAGAAGGAAAGAGGGAGGGAGGGTTACGTCACATGCCTCTACAGTGTAAACTTGAGCAAAGTACTCAGAAAGACTCTCTCTCTTGTTGCTGCCTGAGGGAGCAGGTCAGTAGCTTGCTCACATACACACACGCACACGCACACACGCACACGCACACACACACACACACACACACACACACACATACACAAACACACACACACACACTTGGGTTACATCGATGTATCAGTTTGCATCAAGCTGTCATTTATAAAAAAATTACACACATGGACTGATTAATCCCTCAGAGCTAATAGGATTATCTGTTGGAAAGCTCCATGACATTTTCATGTGATCATTGCCGTTATCATCAGTCCTACTATGTTTATGGGTTCCTGTCGAGTTTCAGTGACCTCTTATGCAAGACTGAAGGTTATTCTAATGATAATCTAGCTCATTCACTTACTGGAATTTAGGTGGGGGAGATATTTTTGCAGTGAGGATATTTGTACCTTTGAGGAAGTCACATTACCAGCTGCCAGCTTTTCTTTAGATAGAAAACGCTGGATGTTTTAGTTTGACCTAATTAGGATTTGTGTCTCAGTGTTGGCCCATAGAACATTTAAATCCACCTGTTTCTCAGGTGTGTGCACAGCAGTGGCGTATAATTTCCTACAGTATGAGGAAGTTTATGTAAGCTGGTAAGTTCATAGCGAGGAGTGCGTGTGTGAGAGAGTGTGTGAGAGGGGGGGTTGGCCCTGCGCTGCCTGCAGTGATCAACAGCCCTGGCTGGTTATGTAACTCGGATGCTGCAGTATGTAGGTCAGCAGCGCAGGGAGAGGCAGGGATGGGGTAACGAGGATAAAGCTGAGGAGTGTGTTAGACTGTGTGTTGGTATGTATGAGTGTGTGTTCACACCTCTGTTCTTCAGGTTTGAGTCATTTCAGCCAGTTGTCCACACACAAAGGATGTACAGTTTATATCATGCCGAGCAGATGTCAAATACCATCACTGCAGACGGAGACTCAAATTCACAGGCTAAGAGGAGAGGAATCACCGGCAGCTCAATGCTGTAGAAACTCATTGTGCAATGAAGCTAAACTGACCCAGCTTTAAACATTAACTTACTGTGTATGTAGTCGATGTTTGATTTTCACAGTCCAACCCACATAAAGTTTAAATCACATAGTTCCTCTGATGAGAAAATAAAACATTTGCAGGCACTCTCTCAACTGATCATATCAGATAAAAAACATTATTGGCTTGTTAGCACCAACATGCACTGAAAGGCAAATAAAAGTCTGGTTTTGCTTAGGATCAGTCAGGATAAAGAGCTGTTGTGCTGTTTTTGCTGAAAAAATCTAAAAAAATCAATCAAAATAATGTTGATCATGAAGAAAATGAACTAATATTATATATTATATACGTTTTAGACACATGAGAAATTATAACTGAGAAGTTCTCCAGTTAAAGAATAAATAACTCTGGAATGCAGTTCATCAATTATTAAACACTTTGCCACATGACTGGACACGGCGCTAATAAAGTCTCAAATTCCCCCAATGAGATTTATTAGAGCTATAAATAAACCTGAGGTACATCCTTTGAATTTCATCGTTCATTACCTGTGATGCTTATTGTAATCATTTGAATAAATATGTGGTGGTGTGGATCGCTTTCTGTGTCTTTCCTGACTGATTTCGTAATTTCAAGGCTGCAAGATCTGTCGGTTTTACATTTTTTAAATGTTTTTCCATTAAAGCTCAATATTTTTGAAGTACGTGTTTAGTTTTTGTATATATTTCTATAATTTTAGATGTTTGGTAAAACTGACAATTTCAGAATCTCAAATAAACCAAGTCACACCAACATGTCAGTACAAAAAGTACATACAGTACCACTGGGCAGAGTGATATCAGTACAAATAATAAAAGCTATGCATTTTATTTCCACCACCAGAAATGGGACTCAGATTGGGTACACGCCTGCAGGAAGCCTGAAAGAGAAAACACAGAGAGAGAGGGGAAAAAACGACTCCTCTGTTGAACATGCATGGTTGGCTGCAGTTCAGGAGAGAGTTATGTTGCCTGCCATGACCCATTCAATCCCTGCTGCCTCTGTCCTACACAGCACTGTAAAATAGGTCAGTGAGCGTCTGTATGTGAGTGTGTGCACACTGCTGTGTGTACAACAATGATTTAAGTACTGCCAACACACTCACACACAGACGCATTCAACACCAATGCCTTTACATCACAACGTAAAATAGGCCACAAGAAAGTTGTGCACTTTTGAAATGAAAGTAGGCCACTAGGAATAACTGTGTGTGTGTGCATGCGCGTGTGTGTGCGAGAGAGATGAATCAGCTCCATGTTATGCAATGCTAAACCACCGTCGGGTCTCATTACCATATCTTGCGCCCTTGTCCTACAGGATGTAGCCTGTTGGCGTACGTGTGTGTGTGTGTGTGTGTGTGTGTGTGTGTGTGTGTGTGTGTATGTACTGAGAGTGATACCCTTTTGGCATCTGACTTTAACAGTCCATCATCTGTCTGTTGAATTTTTCAGCCTGGTGAACCTTTACTTGTGTTCAGACTGTTTCTGCATGGACGCTTAGTGAAAAATCTTATGACTATCAGGTTTTTAGGGATATAAGTATTTAATTAAAAGTATTTACTTATTCTAAATAATTAAATAAGTTACATTTAAAAAAGCCCCTCCAGGCATGTATTAAGACATAGTGTATACAAATAAATCTGTTTGAAACAATAATTTGTGTCTGATATGTTTTTCTGCCAATCATCTTGACATTAAAATCTGTAAAAGGTATCTACTCCTATCTCATAAAAATTCCAGTTCCTGCTGGGCACAAGATGTCTCCTACATCACTGTAAAGTCCATTCTCAGTGTATGTGCACTGGTAGCTTCATGTTTTTACATCACACTGTACAAGTTGCATACTGGACCATCATTCTGCACAGTGAAGCTCAATTATCCAACTGCAGGAACAAGAAAAAAAGGCTAATTTTTAGAAAAAGCTGCCTGTCTTTCCTCAGCTGTTGCTATTCAATAAAGGCAAAAATGCAATGTTCAGTAAAACGTGCATATTGCACATTACTTAACACAACCAAAGAGGAGGTTCAAGCTATGGGATGTAATCATGATTCA